CGTCGGTTGTCCCCCTCTGAGTGCAATTACGACATAGGGAACCGTGAGCTGCTGGCTGTGAAGCTTGCCTTGGAGGAGTGGCGTCACTGGCTGGAGGGGTCCACCATTCCATTTCTCGTTTGGACCGATCATAAGAACTTGGAGTACATCCGCACGGCCAAACGGTTGAACTCCAGGCAGTCCCGCTGGGCCCTGTTCTTCACCAGGTTTAATTTCACTCTGTCATACCGGCCTGGATCACGCAACACCAAGCCAGACGCCCTCTCCCGTCAATTCCAGAAGGATGACACCCCCCTCCAAGGACCCTGTGTCGATTCTGCCAAGTCCCTGCATCGTTGCAGCTCTGACCTGGGCTGTTGAGGAACAGGTGCTGGAGGCTCTCCGTAACCAGCCAGGTCCCAGCACTTGCCCAGCTGACCGCCTTTTTGTCCCCGAAGACCTGAGGTCCCAGGTCGTTCAGTGGGGACATGACTCCCGCCTAGCTTGTCACCCTGGCTCCACCCGCACTTACAACCTGCTCGCCCAGAGGTTCTGGTGGCCCTCTCTGAGAAGGGATGTACGGGAATTCGTCCAAGCCTGCCCCATCTGCAACCAACACAAGTCGTCCTGCCAGCCCCCAGCCGGATTGCTGCAGCCCCTGCCTGTGCCCAGACGTCCCTGGTCTCACATCGCCCTTGACTTTGTCACGGGGCTGCCCCCTTCAAGTGGCATGACTGTCATTCTCACCATTGTTGACCGTTTCAGCAAGATGGCACACTTCATTCCCCTCCCCAAGCTCCCAACCGCCAAGGAGACCGCCCAGGTGGTCCTGGAACACGTCTTCCGGATCCACGGACTGCCTAAGGATGTAGTTTCTGACCGTGGTCCACAATTCTCCTCCGCTTTTTGGAAGGAGTTCTGTCACCTGCTGGGAGCCACAGTCAGTCTGACTTCCGGATTCCATCCCCAATCCAATGGGCAGTCAGAGCGGGCTAATCAGGAGCTCGAGAAGGCACTGCGATGCATGACTTCACGCAACCCCCACTCCTGGTCGCAGCAATTGACATGGGTGGAGTACGCACACAATTCTCTGACCTGCTCTGCCATCGGTATGTCCCCTTTCCAATGTGTTTATGGATACCAGCCTCCTCTATTTGCCAGCCAGGAAGAGGAGGTTACTTGCCCATCTGCACTTGCTTTTGCCCGTCGATGTCGCCCGCACCTGGTCACAAGCCCGAGCCACACTCCTCAGATCCGTTGCCAGCTACACTACCGGGGCCAACCGTCGGAGAATTCCTGCTCCCACCTACCATGTTGGTCAAAGGGTGTGGTTGTCATCGAAGAACCTGCCACTCAGGGTGGAGTCGCAGAAGCTGGCACCTCGGTTCATTGGCCCATTCCCTATCATAAGAGTGATTAGCCCAACTGCTGTCCGGCTCCAACTGCCTAATTCCCTGAGGGTGCACCCCACTTTCCATGTGTCTAAGATTAAGCCCATCCATGAGAGTCCGCTGGTCCCTGCTGCGCCTTGTCCTCCTCCTCCACGGCTCGTCGATGGTGGTCTGGTTTACACCGTCCGCCGCCTGCTTCGGTCCAGACGGAGGGGTAGGGGTCTCCAGTACCTCATTGACTGGGAGGGCTATGGACCTGAGGAAAGGACCTGGGTGCCAGCTAGTCGGATTGTGGATAGGACTCTCATCACCGCTTTCCACCAACGGCATCCTGATCAACCTGCAATCCGTAGGGGCCGCCCCAGAGGGGTCCCTAACCGTCCTGCCCGCTCGGCTTCCTGTCCTGTGCCTGATCCTGTCTCGGGACCTGTCCCATCTCCCGACCACGGCCCTCCGGCTTCCTCCGAGGATGAGGACGTTCACTCGGACCGTTCGGAGGAGTTCTAGCCCTCCTCCGGCTCCCCTCCTCCCGCCCGGCGTGGTGTTGCTCTTGGGACTTCTGGGGCCGTCCCTTGGGGGGGGGGTTCTGTCATGAGCCTCTCACTCCACCGGGTTACCACCTTTATTTTCTTCCACTCTGCTCACCACTCTCTCTACTCAGCCTAACCAGCTCCACCTGTCCCTGCTCTGCTCTGCTCTAATTACTCTGCCAGCTGCGCTGCATTACCCACTACCTCTCCCAGTATTTAAGGCCCTGTCTTTCAGTTCTCCGGTGTCAGATCGTCTGCAAAGCTCACACCCGGAACCTGTTTGCTCGCGCTTCTGGCTCACCCTGGTTTTGTGACCCCGGACCTGCCTGATTTTTGGATACTCTTCTGCCCCAGGAGATCCAGACCTGCTTCTGCCATAACGACTCCTGACTACTCTTCAATCCCGGTAACTCTGACCAGCCTTCTGCCTTGCTACTACGTATTTGGATTTCCCTTGAACTGTACTGCTGCCTTGTTTCATTCCGCCCTGTTGTGTCTGTGTCTCCCCCCCCCCAGGACTTCTGGACCACCCACCACCGGCTTCATAGGACGCATCGCTGCCACTGGGGGGGGCACAGACCCAGCACATTGGACGGGATCCCTGTTACCCCTGGAGCCTTCATTCACTCCCTACTTCCCTTTTCCCCTTAAGTTTTAATAAACTTTCTGGTGTGACGCAATTGTGGTCCTCTGGTCGTCTGTCTGAACCGTGACAGACTCAACATACCAGAGTCCCATAAGTCAGGGCGTGACAGCAGTGGTATTGTGTGTTGTCCTGTTCACTGTTGCAATGTTATGCCTCTTGGCCAGGTCATCATTGTAAATGAGAATTGGTTCTCAATTGACTTATCTGGTTCAATAAAGGTGAAATCAAAACAAAGAATGGGTCAAGTAGCTGTAGCAGTATTATTGCTGCAGATCAATGCACAGGCATCCGTCCATGCCAGATCCACACTGTCATATCCCATCACACCAAGGACACAAGAGTGTGAGGGAGGGATGCAGGCAGGGCTGAAAATATATTTTACTAGAAGAGCCATCATTAAATCTACTGACTCCTCTAGAGAGAGTGAGAGGAGAAAAAAAAGGGGGGGGGGGGGGGGGGGAGAAAGAGAGAGGTGGAAAGGAAGGGAGGGGGAAAGGAAGAGAGAGAGAGAAAGAAAGAAAGAAAGAAAGAAAGAAAGAAAGAAAGAAAGAAAGAAAGAAAGAAAAAAAAAAAAAAAAAGAAAGGAAGGAAGGAAGGAAGGAAGGAAGAGTTAGGGAGTCTTTCTTCTCCCTCGCCTCCAGGAAGACTAATATATTCAATTTGGGTTAAAGAGCGCATTTAAAGAGGAAACTCTCCAACGGGCTGGCGGAGACAAGGCAGGGATTTGAGGATTAATGTGTTTTTTCTGTTTCTCTGCTCAGCCTGTAATTGAGTGATTCAGTATAGGAGCTTTTACTGAGGCAGACCAGGCTCTGACTCCCAGTCAGGGCCAAGGCTGCTGGCTGAGCTGCCACTCATTAAAAAAAGTAACATGGCTGCCTCCAATGAGCCTGACACCACATCTCACAGTCGAAGACTCAGTTCTCTCTCTCTCTCTCTCTCTCTCTCTCTCTCTCTCTCTCTCTCTCCGATCTCACCCTCTCTCTCTCTCTCTCTCCCTTTCTCTCTCTCTCTCCGATCTCACCCTCTCTCTCTCCGATCTCACCCTCTCTCGCTCCCCTCCCTCTCTCATCCTTATGTACTGTTGTTCCAAGCTCTTCACATCCTGTGTCTCTCTCTCCCAGGTCCCACCTCTCTCCCAGTCTATCGACTAAGCTGATGAGGTGCTAGTTAGACAGTCTGCTCAGGTAACAGTACACTGCTCTTATGTAACAGGAGAATTATGGGCGGTGGGGTAGAGCATGGCACAGGAAGTTACAGAGCCGTGTGTTTTTGTGTGTGTGTGTGTGTGTGTCTCTGTCTCTGCGTGTGTGTGTGTGTGTGTCTCTGTGTATGTGCGCGCACCCGTGTCATCTTTCAGAATGTACTAGAAAGAATAGGTACAGTAGCAGCTTCAAAAGGCTGTTATGGGTTTTCACTCCAGCCTGTGCTAAGCTTTTTTACCCCACAACTACCCAACATTAAGCCAACCCTTTGCCTCATACAAATTCATAGAGGCCTACATTTAGCTGTGAGACATTTTGAAGTCATAAAATACTTGCTAAATGTTCCTACAGCGGATATGTGTCTAAGTCTTTGCTCAGAATGCTGTCAGTAAACCTGGCTGTGCCCCAAATGGCACCCTATTCCCTATATAGTGTTCTACTTTTAATCAGGGCCCATTGATGGAATAGGGTGTCAATTTGGGACACGGTCAGCATCTTCATCTTTGCTGCAAAAGAGACTGAGTTCACAGTCTCATAGGTCTCTGGTCAAAAGAAGTGCAATAGTGAATAGGGTGCCATTTGGGATTCACTTCTCTGTCCTACCCTGCTGCCCATGTTCCAGTCACTCCTACTGAGGATAATACACCCAGTCAGCACAGCCACACCAGCCACAGCCACACCAGCCACAGCCATATCACCAGCAGCCTCCCTCCTACCCTCCAGCACTCACTCAGACAAAGGGAGATTTCCCCACGGAGTGTGTCCTCAAACCACGTGGAAGAGACCTCCTTCGGAGTGTGTGTGTCTGTGTGTGTGTGTGTGTGTGTGTGTGTGTGTGTGTGTATGTGGTGGCTGGGGGAGGGGACAGGCAGGGAGAAAGCAGGTGGGGGGGTGGGGCAGTGGGTAATGTCTGCAGCAGTGCAGCGCCTCAATGAACCACCAACCAGATGTGCATATTGCCACAGTCCCACATGCTTATTACATACCAAAGATGCGGGGGAGGGGCCAAGACCTGCTCACACACACACCACACAAAGACACTTCATTTCTCAGCAACATGCACACAGTCTGCCCTCTCTGTCTGATACTGTGGGGGGGAGGAGCTGGCCAGTTGTGTATAACTTGGACCTGGCCCAAAGCAGCTCCACTTGGGAATTCACATTTCATAACAAACACACACACACACACACACACACACACACAGGCAAAAAAAAGAACACAGGCAGCGGGGGCTTGTTTTCAACTGCAGATGACCGAGGATCACTGAGAGAGAGAGCAAGAGAGCAAGAGAGAAGAGAGATGAAGAGAGGAGAGAGAGAGAGAGAGATGAGAAGAGATGAGAAGAGAGAGAGAGAGAGGGCAGGGTCATTGCTGCAGCATGTGCCGCCCTGCTGGAAGAACAAAGGAGTCATTTTCCCCTTCATCATCAGTGTGTGTTAAGGTTGTTAGTTTGGCTAGCTGGCCAATGCCTAGTGTTCTCTCTGCTCTGCAGTGTGTGCAGTAGTGCACTGGTGCAAATTGAACGTGTTCCCCTGTGGGTATTACAAGGCCCAACGTCCTGCTACCTGTGAAGATGATGAGGTATGCTTTGGTGTTTTTGTTGTAAATCTTTTTTTGCCCAGAGACCGGCCCTATAGCCTTGAGAGAGAGAGAGAGAGAGAGAGAGAGAGAGAGAGAGAGAGAGAGAGAGAGAGAGAGAGAGAGAGAGAGAGAGAGAGGGAGGGAGGCAGATGTTACACCACCCTGAAGTGCAACCAAGCAATTTTTTCAAGAACGCTACCTGTCTCTACTTCATAGTCTGTATGTAGCCTACTCTATGGAGCACATTGGTTCAGGTCTAGCGCTAGTGTGGAGGCTACACACAGACTATCCAATACGATAAAACACACACACACACACACACACACACACACACACACACACACACACACACACTCAACCCTGTCTCAGCTGTCACACAGTAAGCATTGCAGCAGCCAGAACTAAAAGAGGAGGATGAGAGAGGGAGGAGAGAGGAGAGAGTAGTAGCATAAAGTACTAATCCAGCCTTCTCCTTCAAGCAGACACATTTCTCCCAGCACAGTCTGATCTCCCAGCTTAGTTTGTGTGTGTGTGTGTGTGTGTGTGTGTGTGTGTGTGTGTGTGTGTGTGTGTGTGATGAGAATGATGATGGTAAAGTCATTACATTACGCAACCCCAACCCAAACCTAAACCACCACATCACTTCCAGATGATTAGCATGGTTAGCCTGCTGCGGCTAATTACACAAGAGGAAGACTCAGTGAAACTACAAGAGTTGTTTTGAAGAGCGCTGGAGGAGAGAGAGCACAAACAGGACAAATGATTTATAATGGCAAGCAATCGATAAAAAAACTAATCTGTCTATAAACACATTTATACGTCTATAAATCTGTATTAGTCTGTTTGTAGCGCCGTCTAAACCATCCTTCCATCTGTCCATCCCTCAGTCCCACACTGTGTCTGTCTCGGTCTGTCTGTCTGTCCAGTTGGCTTGCTCTCTCTCCTTTCTCTCTCTTGTAATATGGGACCCCTCCGTCCTGCAGTCTCTCTCTCTCGCCATAGCAGTGGAAGGCCCATGGCTGTTGTGTCAATGCAGCTCAGTTCATCTCCACACTGTACAGTCGTGGTCAAAAGTTTTGAGAATGACACAAATAAAAAATTTCACTAAGTCTGCTGCCTCAGTTTTTATGATGGCAATTTGCATATACTCCAGAATGTTATGAAGAGTCATCAGATGAATTGCAATTAATTAAAAGTCCCTATTTGTCATGAACATGAACTTAATCCCCAAAAAACATTTCCACTGCATTTCAGCCCTGCCACAAAAGGACCAGCTGACATCATGTCAGTGATTCTCTCGTTAACACAGGTGAGAGTGTTGACGAGGACACGGCTGGAGATCACTCTGTCATGCTGATTGAGTTAGAATAACAGACTGGAAGCTTTAAAAGGAGGGTGGTGCTTGAAATCATTGTTCTTCCTCTGTTAACCATGGTTACCTGCAAGGAAACACGTGCCGTCATCATTGCTTTGCACAAAAAGGGCTTCACAGGCAAGGATATTGCTGCTAGTAAGATTGCACCTAAATCAAACATTTATCGGATCATCAAGAACTTCAAGGAGAGAGGTTCAATTGTTGTGAAGAAGGCTTCAGGGTGCCCAAAAAAGTCCAGCAAGCACCAGGACCGTCTCCTAAAGTTGATTCAGCTGCGGGATCGGGTCACCACCAGTGCAGAGCTTGCTCAGGAATGGCAACAGTCAGGTGTGAGTGCATCTGCACGCACAGTGAGGCAAAGACTTTTGGAGGATGGCCTGGTGTCAAGAAGGGCAGCGAGGAAGCCACTTCTCTCCAGGAAAAACATCAGGGACAGACTGATATTCTGCAAAAGGTACAGGGATTGGACTGCTGAGGACTGGGGTAAAGTCATTTTCTCTGATGAATCCCCTTTCCGATTGTTTGGGGCATCTGGAAAAAAGCTTGTCCGGTGAAGACAAGATGAGCGCTACCATCAGTCCTGTGTCATGCCAACAGTAAAGCATCCTGAGACCATTCATGAGTGGGGTTGCTTCTCAGCCAAGGGAGTGGGCTTACTCACAATTTTGCCTAAGAACACAGCCATGAATAAAGAATGGTACCAACACATCCTCCGAGAGCAACTTCTCCCAACCATCCAATAACAGTTTGTTGACGAACAATGCCTTTTCCAGCATGATGGAGCACCTTGCCATAAGGCAAAAGCGATAACTAAGTGGCTCGGGGAACAAAACATCGACATGTTGGGTCCATGGCCAGGAAACTCCCCAGACTTTAATCCCATTGAGAACTTGTGATCAATCCTCAAGAGGCGGGTGGACAAACAAAAACCCACAAATTCTGACAAACTCCAAGCATTGATTATGCAAGAATGGGCTGCCATCAGTCAGGATGAGGCCCAGAAGTTAATTGACAGCATGCCAGGGCGGATTGCAGAGGTCTTGAAAAAGAAGGGTCAACACTGCAAATATTGACTCTTTGCATAAACTTAATGTAATTGTCAATAAAAGCCTTTGACACTTATGGAATGCTTGTAATTATACTTCAGTATACCATAGTAACATCTGACAAAAATATCTAAAAACTCTGAAACACTGAAGCAGCATGCCCCCTGACCTTAACCTTCATATACAGTGTGACAACAGTGAGGTCACCATAGGTCACCATCCCACAGACCACACCCCTGGCCTCTAGAATGTAAACATGGAGAAGAGGGACCTGTTTTTAGCCGATTGGGGGCTGACTGGAAACTTACTGTAATAACAAAGGTGAGGATAACGGTCTATGGTTGGACATGAGAAAATGAACACATGGCTAACACATTAGCATCCGGTACAGAGGGGTAAACATCTTTGTTTTTGCGCAGAGAAAATATGGTTGTGTCCCAAAGGGCACATAGGGCTCTGGTCAAAAGTAGTGCACTTTAAAGGGAATAGGGTGCCATTTGGGATACAGTTATTTCAGAGATTACCTGAGATGTAATCTGAAAGGCCCAGAGAAGGGCCTTGTGATAGCGTGCAGAGCAGTGGAACGGATCCCAAAGAGAGAGGAGTTTCAGCTCAATCCAACTAACCAAACACAGACCAACACATGAATAAGAGTGATGAGAGTCAATTACATTCTGAGGACAATGACCATAGTGTTCCTGCATCATTACTCCTCTTGTTCGCTGTGTGAAGACACACACATGGGCGTACACACACACACACACACACACACACACACACACACACACACACATCACCCTTGAGACTGCAGGGTCTTGCCGGAGGCCTGAAGGTCTTGTGGACCAGAGAAGGAGCCCCTACCTCTGCCTCAGCAGCAGTAGCAGTGTGTGTGTGTGTGTGTGTGTGTATGTGTGTGGACTGCGGAGTGGAGTGTATTTTTAGCCCCTCTGCAGCGGCAGAGAACAACTATTCCCCCGAGGGCGCTGTGAGCTCCAGTAATCTCTCCATGAGGGGGTCTGAAGGAGCGAGGGAGAGGGGTTGAAGAGGAAGAGGAAGAGAGAACATATACAGTGGATATAAAAAGTCTACACACAGCTGCTAAAATGCCAGGTTTTTGTGATGTAAAAGAATGAGACAAAGATAAATCATGTCAGAACTTTTTCCACCTTTAATGTGACCTATAATGTGAACAATTCAATTGAAAAACAAACTTAAATCTTTGAGGGGGGAAAATATAAATAAAAGAAACTCACAATAACCTGGTTGCATAAGTGTGAACACCCTTAAACTAATACTTTGTTGAAGCACCTTTTGATTTTATTACAGCACTCAGTCTTTTTGGGTAGGAGTCTATTAGCATGGCACATCTTGACGTGGCAATATTTGCCCACTCTTCTTTGCAAAAGCGCTCCAAATCTGTCAGATTGTGAGGACATATCCTGTGCACAGCCCTCTTCAGATCACCCCAGAGATGTTCAATTCGATTCAGGTCTGGGCTCTGGCTGGGCCATTCCAAAACGTTAATCTTCTTCTGGTGAAGCCATGCTTTTGTGGATTTGGATGTGTGCTTTGGGTCGTTGTCGTGCTGAAAGGTGAACTTCATCTTCAGCTTTCTAACGGACGCCTGAAGGTTTTGTGCCAAAATTGCCTGGTATTTGGAACTGTTCATAATTCCCTCCACCCTAACTAAGGCCCCGGTTCCAGCTGAAGAAAAACAGCCCCAAAGCATATTGCTGCCACCACCATGCTTCACTGTGGGTATGGTGTTCTTTGGGTGATGTGCAGTGTTGTTTTTGCGCCAAACACACCTTTTGGAACCATAACCATAACACATTTTACCATGTGCTTTTGGGGGACTTTATGTTTGTTTTTGCAAACTTCAGCCGGGCTTGGATGTTTTTCTTTGTAAGAAAAGGCTTCCGTCTTGCCACCCTACCCCATAGCCCATTCATATGAAGAATACGGGAGATTGTTGTCACATGTAGCACACAGCCAGTACTTTCCAGAAATTCCTGCAGTTCCTTTAATGTTGCTGTAGGCCTCTTGGAAGCCTCCCTGACCAGTTTTCTTCTCGTCTTTTCATACATTTTGGAGGGACGTCCAGTTCTTGGTAATGTCTCTGTTGTGCCATATTTTCTCCACTTGATGATGACTGTCTTCACTGTGTTCCATGGTATATGTAATGCTTTGGAAATTATTTTGTACCCTTCTCCTGACTGATATCTTTCAACAATGAGATCCCTCTGATGCCTTGGAAGTTCTCTCCGGACCATGGCTTTTGCTCTGAGATGCAACTAAGAAAATGTCAGGAAAATCCTACTAGAGCAGCTGAACTTTATTTGTGATTAATCAGAGTCACTTTAAATGATGGCAGGTGTGTAATGACTTCTATTTAACATGAGTTTGAATGTGATTGGTTAATTCTGAACACAGCCACATCCCCAGTTATAACTTATGCAACCAGGTTATTGTAAGGTTTTTATTTTTCATTTTTCCCCCTCAAAGATTTCAGTTTGTTTTTCAATTGAATTGTTCACATTATAGGTCACATTAACAGTGGAAAAAGTTCTGACATGATTTATCATTGTCTCATTCTTTTACATCACAAAAACCTGGCATTTTAACAGGGGTGTGTAGACTTTTTATATCCACTGTATTTAAAATCTAAACAAATGGATGGAATCTTTAACAGCTACTACGGAAACCTGGGGCCAGATGCCTCACACTCTGCCTATAACGGGAGGTGTGTCTGTGTGTGTGCAATGTATCCTCTGGTTTATTAAGCCATTGAACATAGGGCTGTTGTTCCGTTCCACTGCAGTAGTGTTCACACGGCTGCTCTGCTGGAACAAACAGAGGCACTCTGTCTTCTCTCTTTCCACACACACACGTGTCACAGTCTCACACACACACACACACGCACAGTACCTACTATATCCAGGAAGAACATACAGTACAGTAGAAGCTCTATCTAGTCTGAGCTAGGGACGCTCCATTTTCATCCACAACCAGTTCAAATGCCCATCCTTGCAGAGAGAGCTGGGGATGGGGTGTAGGGGGATTGGGGTGTAGGGGTCTCCCCCTGAGAGAGTGACTGATGTGATTCTTCAAATAATCTGTTTAGCAGCCTCCTGCCCACGCCACACACTCCACTTCATTGCCTGAACACCCAGCAAGCACACACTGTGTGTGTGGGTTTGTGGGTATGTGTGTGTGTGTGTGTGGTGTGTGTGCCTCAGTGTCACACAGAAACTCATATACTGTATACTGTACACTGAGTGTACAAAACATTAAGAACACCTTCCTAATATTGAGTTGCACCTCCTTTTGACCTCAGAAAAGCTTCAATTCGTCAGGGCATGGACTCTACAAGGTGTCGAAAACGTTCCACAGGGATGCTGGCCCATGTTGACTCCAATGCTTCCCACAGTTGTGCCAAGTTGGCTGGATGTCCTTTGGGTGGTGGACCATTCTTTTTACACATGGGACACTGTTGAGTGTGAAAAACGCAGCAGCGTTTCAGTTCTTGACACAAACCGGTACGCCTGGCACCTACTACCATACCCTGTTCAAAGGCACTTCAATCTTTTGTCTTGCCCATTCACCCTCTGAATGGCACACATACACAATCCATGTCTCAAGGCTTAAAAATACTTATTTTAACTAGTCTCCTCCCCTTCATCTACACTGATTGAAGTGGATTTGACAGGTGACATCAATAAGGGATCATAGCTTTTACCTAGATTCACCTGGTCAGTCTATGTCAATGAAAGAGCAGGGGTTCTTAATGTTTTGTATACTCAGTGTATAGCTCTAGACTATAGGCATGGGACAGGGAGAAAGGGGATAGGGAGAGGAGAGAGAGAGGAGGGGGAGAGGAGAGAGAGAGGAGGAGGAGAGAGAGGAGGGGGAGAGGGGAAAGAAGGGGGTTTATGGGGGTCGTCCTGAAACAAGACAGTCATCCTTAAGTCTGTCAGCATGTCCATTCCCATACTTACACATGACACTTCTATAGCCTCTGGAGACATTGAGAGAGCTAGAGGGGGAGCTAGTGGACTCACAACAGACAGCCATTCTCTCCCTTAGTAAAATACCTTCCCAGACACACACTGTAGAGAGTAAACTAAGCAGACCCTGACTAACCAGACACATCATCAAGGCTAATGTAACATGGTTCCCTGCCATGCACAGACAGAGAAAAACAATGTGAAAAGAGGCCATGACCGAGATTCCAACCGTACAGATAGGGGTGTATGACATGTCAAAGGAGTGTTTTGGTTCTCAAACGTTGAAAAGGGAATTATTTTTTCATGAGGGTCTTGTCAGCCCATTTCTGGGTTTGGGGAGGGGGTGAAGCAGTGTGGGGTATTTTGTTGTAGTCCTATAACTCCCCCTTCTACCCCCCCTGTCTTGATCTGCGGAAGCCAGGCTGACACAGACAAACAGACAGCACCCTCTCTTTTCCCCATCAATGATTCATGTCAGGAAAGGCTTTGGTTTGGAGGAGGTTAGCGCTCCAACCTCAAGACACTCACCCAGATAAGTGTAGGAGATGAAGAGCCAAGCCACATGGCTGCAGCTCTCCCAATCTGACCCTACAGTATATCAACATACTACCCCTGACCCACCACACCAAAATAACCCACTAGTGGAGCCTTCTCCCTGACAAAGAGCAGGGCAGAGGCCCTGATAGCCAGAATAGGCTGTTGATGTTGTCATATCAGTGTGTTAGAGAGGGTTGCCTCCTTTACCCTTACCCCCCAGGCCCCCACCACTCCTCTGGTAAACGTGTCTGAGGAGGTGTCTGAGGAGGTGTCTGCATCTGCTACGCTACAGGCCCAAATCCAGGTCACAGAGAGGGTGTGTGTGTGCGTGCGTGCGTGAGGCGGGTGGTCTCCTAAATCATGTGTACAGCACTCAGATCCACTCAAAGCCATTACTCTTGTCAGGCAGTTTTTTTGGGGGGCAGCCAGCCAGTCACCAGCTAGCACAGACGCAAGCCACCAGCCAATAGCAGCTGTGTTACCATGAGGATACCAGATGTGATATCACTGATACAACTGTGTGAATGAAATGCCGTGGCATGTCTTATCATTGACTTTGTTGTGTTTCCCCACACAAAAACCCTAAGTTGTTACAGCATTAGCCCCTGATACATGAGTCAACCCCTATTTGCATATGTCAACACGTACTCCGAGTGCTAACAACGGTACACATAGTTAAACATGTAAATCAACTCTCACAACCCTTAGCACACAGTTCACGCTAACATCTTGGCAAACACCAGTGTAACACGAACCCTGACACCAAGTCTTCACACATTCAAGGCTAAAGAGGATGCTGAGTTCACTAATGTCAAAGTCAATCAGAGGTGAAGACAGGGCAGGGCTGAGAGTGAAGAGAGCGAGAGCCCCATTGAGAAATACCACACAAAGACCTTGCTTGGCCGACACACTCTACTGCAAACAAACAGTAGCCCCCAAAATGGGACATGGCCCCCATGTGACCCACTTTTTCCTCAGTGGACCAATCAGACGAGGCCAAGGGCAGGGCAGACCCCACTTCAGGAGCACCAATTAGTTAAAAATTTTGTTGATTTGTTTTAGAAAAATTTTTTTGTGTCATTTAGCAGACGCTCTTATACAGAGCGACTTACAGGAGCAATTAGGGTTAAGTGCCTTGCTCAAGGGCACACCGACAGATTTTTCACCTAGTTGGCTCAGGGATTAGAACCAGCGACCTTTCGGTTACTGGCACAACGCTCTTAACCACTAAGCTACCTGCCGCCCACCAAGTCACCCGTGTCAGAAGTGTGTGTGTGTTAATAGGGAAAGCAGCACGTGGCTTAGCTCACCCTCACCTCTCTGTCCTCTGATTTCCTCATGTTCAGGGTTCTGCATTCAAATATGTCTTTTTTATAGCTTAAACAAACAGCCCACATTTTTTTCCAGGATGTCTCTGTGTGAACGTCCTGAAATAGTGTGTCTAAATCCAGGCATAGCGGGAAGGCCTGACCTGCTGGCTCTAAGAGGTGATGAATCCACTGCTGCACACACACTTATGAAGCTTAATCACACCCATTTAAACAACACACAACGTCAACAGCACTGCTCAGCCCCTCAGCAGCAGGCTTTTAACACTGTCTCTGTGCTCTTCTGGTGTGTGTGTGTGAATAGTAAACCAAGAAAGATTTTACCAACTGGGGACATTTTCTTGGTCCCCACAAGGTCAAATGCTATTTCTAGGGGGTTTAGGGTTAAGGTTAGAATTAGTGTTAGGGTTAGAATTAGGTTTAGGGTTAGGGTTAGGAGATATAGTTAGTTTTAGGGTTAGAGTTAGGAGCTAGGGTTAGGGTTAGGGTTAAGGTTAGGTTTTTGGGTAAAGGTTAGGGTTAGGGTTAGGGTAAGGGTACGGGTTAGGGTTAGGTTTAGGGTTAGTGGTTAGGGAAAATAGGATTTTGAATGGGAATGAATTGTATGTCCCCACAAGGTTAGCTGCGCAAGACTGTGTGTGTGTGTGTGTGTGTGTGTGTGTTACAGTAGGCCATGTGCAGGTGTGATCTTGACACTCACTGAAGTACATGCAAACACATACAGTACATACACAACCACATACATCGTCACTCACAGAAACACACAAACCCTCACACCCATATTCCCACATAAAGGTTGGGAGTGGTGTGTTCAGAAGGCCAACCCAGTTTTAATGGAATGCATTAATAACAGAACTCATAGCTCATAGACACAAGCTAACAAGCTGTCTACATTCCTGGTGCACGTGCACACGCACACACACACACAGCCTCTAAGGAACAGAGCAAGAGGTGAGGGGCGGTGAGGAAAGGGGACTATACAGGCAGTACCAGTCTGATCCCCGTAGGGTGAGAGTCAGTACCCCTACACCCCTCTCTCCCTCCTTCAGCATCAATACCCTTCTTTACATATAGCAGCTTCTAGCAAACACTGCATATAGTACCTTTCAGCTCCACTCACATAACTGTCACAGTTCTATGGACCAGAAATGCTGCCTACCACTTCATGTTTTTTTCTCTGCCACCACAGGACACACACACAGACCTTACAGTCAGTTATTCCGTCTGCTGTCCCTGAATCAGCCTCACCAGTGGAAGAACTGTGACATCGCCATAGCCCAAATATGGCACCCCATGCAGGAAACAGGAGTCACAGCATCTCTACTGCTTCTTACCTCAAAATACTCTGCCAACATGGACAGGGGAAGGTGAGGGGGGTGTTGTATGCCTGTTTAAACACCATATCCCAACACTCCAATTGATCAGTGTCGTCTCGGCCCTAGGAATGCTAGGATATGGTGTTTAAAAAAGAGTCTAGGGGCCTTGACTGTTTACAGAGAATAAAAATATCTGCAAGAGGACAGTGTTGTGTTTGTGTTGGGACTGGGAGCCAAACACTGTATCTTAATGGCGTTTTACTGGCATAGCAAGTTGGTTTTCCTCCCAGTCTGGCCTTGGGTCTAAAAATGCTACATGAAGTGGCCTGTGTCAATACCAATCCATCCACCTGCACAGGAATATAACTCAGCCTTGATATCAATACCGCTGGATATAGCAGCAATTACATTCGATTTAACCTTCAATGCACAAAATACACACACCATTTAGTTTAATGGATTTAACCTTGACTGGTCTCGTGCCAGCATTAAGCTTCTTATAGGACATTACTGTAAATGGCTTTTTTCTTCCTCCTTCAGTGATGATGCAGAGCCTGCATGAATACACACACAATTTCAGAAACACCTCTCCCCCTGATGACAGGACCATGTCTATGTTCCCTCAGCCCTATGTTCCCTCAGCCCTATGTTCCCTCAGTTCTCTCAGCCCTATGTTCCCTTAGCCCCATGTTCCCTCAGCCCCATGTTCCCTCAGCCCCATGTTCCCTCAGCCCCATGTTCCCTCAGCCCCATCATCCCTCAGCCCAATGTTCCCTCAGCCCAATGTTCCCTCAGCCCAATGTTCCCTCAGCCCCATGTTCCCTCAGATCTCTCAGCCCTATGTTCCCTCAGCCCAATGTTCCCTCAGCCCCCTTGTTCCCTCAGCCCCATGTTCCCTTAGCCCCATGTTCCCTCAGCCCCATGTTCCCTCAGCCCCCATGTTCCCTCAGCCCCCATGTTCCCTCAGCCCCCATGTTCCCTCAGCCCCCATGTTCCCTCAGCCCCCATGTTCCCTCAGCCCCATGTTTCCTCAGCCCCATGTTCCCTCAGCCCCATGTTCCCTCAGCCTCATGTAGCTCAGTTGGTAGAGCATGGCGCTTGCAACGCCAGGGTTGTGGGTTTGTTTCCCACGGGGGGACAGTATGAAACATTTATGCACTAACTAACTGTAAGTCGCTCTGGATAAGAGCATCTGCTAAATTACTAAAATGTCAATGTTCCCTCAGTTCTATCTTCTAAACCAGGAGTCAGCAAACCAAATGAAAGGAAGAACCTTTTTACAAATTCTCTCAATATCTAGTATTTTTGGAGCTGCACGGAATCTACCCGTTTGAGAGGGGAAAAAACAGAAAAGAGGGACATTATAGACAAAAACGTATGTGATTTTTATATATATATATTTTTTTACATTGAGTATATTTTTCACATCCTTAATGTACAAAGGTATTTTGGTGAGTTAATCCACTGTTGCATGAATGAATAAATTAGGACAATCTATAGAGCCCCACAGTGTAGGTGTCATAATACCCATAAAACCTCACGTTTTTTCCACCATTCATTTTTCCCATAGGGAATTGTTGTATGCCTCTTTAAACACCATATCCCAACACTCCAATTGATCAGTGTCGTCTCGGCCCTAGGAATGCTAGGATATGGTGTTTAAAAAAAGAGTCTAAGGGCCTTGACTGTTTACAGAGAATAAAAAGACCTGCAAGAGGACAGTGTTGTGTTTGTGTTGGGACTGGGAGCCAAACACTGTATCTTAATGGCGTTTTACTGGCATAGCAAGTTGGTTTTCCTCCCAGTCTGGCCTTGGGTCTAAAAATGCTACATGAAGTGGCCTGTGTCAATACCAATCCATCCACCTGCACAGGAATATAACTCAGCCTTGATATCAATACCGCTGGATATAGCAGCAATTACATTCGATTTAACCTTCAATGCACAAAATACACACACCATTTAGTTTAATGGATTTAACCTTGACTGGTCTCGTGCCAGCATTAAGCTTCTTATAGGACATTACTGTAAATGGCTTTTTTCTTCCTCCTTCAGTGATGATGCAGCAGCCTGCATGAATACACACACATGCACACACACAATTTCAGAAACACCTCTCCCCCTGATGACAGGACCATGTCTATGTTCCCTCAGCCCTATGTTCCCTCAGCCCTATGTTCCCTCAGTTCTCTCAGCCCTATGTTCCCTCAGCCCTATGTTCCCTCAGTTCTCTCAGCCCTATGTTCCCTCAGCCCCACGTTCCCTCAGCCACATGTTCCCTCAGCCACATGTTCCCTCACTCCCATGTTCCCTCAGCCCCATGTTCCCTCAGTTCTCTCAGCCCTATGTTCCCTCAGCCCCATGTTCCCTCAGCCCCATGTTCCCTCAGCCCCATGTTCCCTCAGCCCCATGTTCCCTTAGCCCCATGTTCCCTCAGCCCCATGTTACCTCAGCCCCCATGTTACCTCAGCCCCCATGTTCCCTCAGCCCCCATGTTCCCTCAGCCCCCATGTTTCCTCAGCCCCATGTTCCCTCAGCCCCATGTTCCCTCAGCCTCATGTAGCTCAGTTGGTAGAGCATGGCGCTTGCAACGCCAGGGTTGTGGATTCGTTTCCCACGGGGGGCCAGTATGAAAAATGTATGCACTAACTAACTGTAAGTCGCTCTGGATAAGAGCATCTGCTAAATGACTAAAATGTAAATGTTCCCTCAGTTCTATCTTCTAAACCAGGAGTCAGCAAACCAAATGAGAGGAAGAACCTTTTCTCAATATCTAGTATTTTTGGAGCTGCACGGAATCTACCCGTTTGAGAGGGGGAAAAAACAGAAAAGAGGGACATTATAGACAAAAACGTATGTGATTTTTATATATATATATTTTTTTACATAGAGTATTTTTTCACATCCTTGATGTACAAAGGTATTTTGGTGAGTTAATCCACTGTTGCATGAATGAATAAATTAGGACCATCTATAGAGCCCCACAGTGTAGGTGTCATAATACCCATAAAACCTCACAGTTTTTCCACCATTCATTTTTCCCATAGGGAATTTTAGAAACACATTTCGTGTGGGCTTACACTGGCGTAACGTTTTGATAACCATGTAAATCTATCTCGGACAAGGTGACTTTTATCAATATGCCATGATGATCTGGACGAGACTTGACTTGAGTAGATGCTGAGATAAAATATATTTTTTAAATGCTATTCGACTATAAAAGTTCAAGGTCATAGTGATTGAACATATTCAGTAAATCCCATATATAGGCCTACACTTACATGTTTGTGTTGTAGATGCTGAAATAATCTGCATTTTCTACCTTGGTACAATAAGCATTTGTGCCAATTTTGATACAACATAGGGATGAGGGAACATAGGGCTGAGCGAACATAGGGCTGAGGGAACATAGGGCTGTAGGAACATAGGTTGATGGAGAACAGGGCTGAGGGAACATAGGGCTGAGGGAACATAGGGCTGAGGGAACATAGGGCTGTAGGAACATAGGTTGATGGAGAACAGGGCTGAGGGGAACATAGGGCTGAGGGAACATAGGGCTGAGGGAACATAGGGCTGTGGGAACATAGGTTGATGGAGAATAGGGCTGAGGGAACATAGGTTGAGGGAACATAGGTTGAGGGAACATAGGTTGAGGGAACATAGGGCAGACCCCTGGTGACAAGAGAATTACAGCCTGCCAAGAGTGCCCAATAATTCATCAATGTAACCACATTCCCATACAGAACTGTGAGTCATACACGCTGCTCACCGAGTAGCAACAACCAATCGATATCAGCTCCACTGCTAAACAGCATGCTAAACATGGCTCATTAACATACATGAGCTCATAAAGACAGAGGCTGGGTCTCAAATTGCACCCTCTTCCCTATGTAGTGCCCTACTTTTGACCAGGGCCCATAGGGCTCTAGTCAAACGTAGTGCACTATATAGCTATGGAATAGGGTGCTTTCCCAAGCCAGTCAGTAACTCAACACAGCCCACCAATGCCTTGCTGCTTGGCATTCAGCACTGAGTAGGCCTAGGCCTAAAAAACAAGCAATTGCTCCTAAAGAGAGAGAGGAGAGAGAGAAATCGTTAGGAGATCAGTAGTGAACTCTGCCGCAGCCTCCCTCTAAGACCTTTTCCTCAGTCTGAGCGATATGACATAAGCTAGCTGGGCCCTGGGCTCCAAAACATGACACGCATGAAAAATGAAACCCTGCATTACTGGCTAATTTCTTTACATAAGAGAGGAGCTAGATACATCAGGCTACACAAAACCTCATCTCCAGGCTCTAGGATAGTGTAAAAATACAGAGAGAGAAAGAGAGACTTTAACTATTTCCACATCATTGTAACACTGTTCATAGACATAATATGACATTTGAAATGTCTCTATTCCTCTGAGTGTAATGTTTAATATACATTTTTTATTGTTCATTTCACTTTTGTTTATTATCTATTTCACTTGCTTAGGCAGTGTAAACATGTGTTTCCCATGCCAATAAAAACAATTTGTATTGAATTGAATTGAATTTAAAGAGAGAGAAAGAGAAAGAGAGAGAGAGAGCTAGAGATGAAAATAATATAATGCTAATCTGAGTAGCGCTTGGTGACTTACAGTGAGGGGAAAAAGGATTTGATCCCCTGCTGATTTTGTCCGTTTGCCCACTGACAAAGAAATTATCAGTCTATAATTTTAATGGTAGGTTTATTTGAACAGTGAGAGACAGAATAACAACAACAAAATCCAGAAAAACGCATGTCAAAAATGTTATAAATTGATTTGCATTTTAATGAGGGAAATAAGTATTTGACCCCCTCAATCAGAAAGATTTCTGGCTCACAGGTGTCTTTTATACAGGTAACGAGCTGAGATTAGGAGCACACTCTTAAAGGGAGTGCTCCTAATCTCAGCTTGTTACCTGTATAAAAGACACCTGTCCACAGAAGCAATCAATCAATCAGATTCCAAACTCTCCACCATGGCCAAGACCAAAGAGCTCTCCAAGGATGTCAGGGACAAGATTGTAGACCTACACAAGGCTGGAATGGGCTACAAGACCATCGCCAAGCAGCTTGGTGAGAAGATGACAACAGTTGGTGCGATTATTCGCAAATGGAAGAAACACAAAATAACTGTCAATCTCCCTCGGCCTGGGGCTCCATGCAAGATCTCACCTCGTGGAGTTGCAATGATCATGAGAACGGTGAGGAATCAGCCCAGAACTACACGGGAGGATCTTGTCAATGATCTCAAGGCAGCTGGGACCATAGTCACCAAGAAAACAATTGGTAACACACTACGCCGTGAAGGACTGAAATCCTGCAGCGCCCGCAAGGTCCCCCTGCTCAAGAAAGCACGTATACAGGCCCGTCTGAAGTTTGCCAATGAACATCTGAATGATTCAGAGGAGAACTGGGTGAAAGTGTTGTGGTCAGATGAGACCAAAATCGAGCTCTTTGGCATCAACTCAACTCGCCATGTTTGGAGGAGGAGGAATGCTGCCTATGACCCCAAGAACACCATCCCCACCGTCAAACATGGAGGTGGAAACATTATGCTTTGGGGTTGTTCTTCTGCTAAGGGGACAGGACAACTTCACCGCATCAAAGGGACGATGGACGGTGCCTCCTTCCCTCAGCCAGGGCATTGAAAATGGGTCATGGATGGGTATTCCAGCATGACAATGACCCAAAACACACGGCCAAGGCAACAAAGGAGTGGCTCAAGAAGAAGCACATTAAGGTCCTGGAGTGGCCTAGCCAGTCTCCAGACCTTAATCCCATAGAAAATCTGTGGAGGGAGCTGAAGGTTCGAGTTGCCAAACGTCAGCCTCGAAACCTTAATGACTTGGAGAAGATCTGCAAAGAGGAGTGGGACAAAATCACTCCTGAGATGTGTGCAAACCTGGTGGCCAACTACAATAATCTTCTGACCTCTGTGATTGCCAACAAGGGTTTTGCCACCAAGTACTAAGTAATGTTTTGCAGAGGGGTCAAATACTTATTTCCCTCATTAAAATGCAAATCAATTCATAACATTTTTGACATGCGTTTTTCTGGATTTTTTTGTTGTTATTCTGTCTCTCACTGTTCAAATAAACCTACCATTAAAATTATAGACTGATAATTTCTTCTTCAGTGGGCAAACGTACAAAATCAGCAGGGGATCAAATACTTGAAAAAACTTCTGTAGCTTCATTAAATAGTACCCGCAAAACACCAGTCTCAATGTCAACAGTGAAGAGGCGACTCCGGGATGCTGACCTTCTAGGCAGAGTTGCAAAGAAAAAGCCATATCTCAGACTGGCCAATAGAAAGAAAAGATTAAGATGGGCAGTCTGAAATATGGCTTTTTCTTTGCAACTCTGCCTAGAAGGTCAGCATTCTGGAGTCGCCTCTTCACTGTTGACGTTGAGACTGGTGTTTTGTGGGTACTATTTAATGAAGCTGCCAGTTGAGGACCTGTGAGGAGCCTGTTCCTCAAACTAGACACTCTAATGTATCCCACTCTTCTTTCTATTCTGGTTAGAGCCAGTTTGCGCTGGTCTGTGAAGGGAGTAGTACACAGCGTTGTACGAGATCTTCAGTTTCTTGGCAATTTCTCGCATAGAATAGCCTTCATTTCTCAGAACAAGAATAGACTGACGAGTTTCAGAAGAAAGTTATTTGTTTCTGGCCAATTTGAGCCTGTAATCGAACCCACAATTGCTGATGCTCCAGATACTCAACTAGTCTCAAGAAGGCCAGCTTTATTGCTTCTTTAATCAGCACAACAGTTTTCAGCTGTGTTAACATAATTGCAAAAGGGTTTTCTAATGATCAATTAGCCTTTTAAAATGATACATTTGGATTAGCAAACACAACATGCCATTGGAACACAGGACTGATGGTTGCTGATAATGGGACCCCTGTACGCCTATGTAGATATTCCATAAAAATCAGCCGTTTCCAGCTACAATAGCCATTTACAACATTAACAATGTCTACACTGTATTTCTGATCACTTTGATGTTATTTTAATGAACCAAAAAAATTGCTTTTATTTAGTAAAAAATTACATTTCTAAGTGACCCCAAACTTTTGAACGGTAGTGTATAGGTAGGGGCTACCGAATGTCATTTTTTGTGAGTTTGGACATTTACAAGCGAATGTGAACGAGAGACATTGTGCAAATGAACAAGGTTTTGATGCATGCAGTACTGGCTCTCCAGCAGCATGTCTACACGCTGTGTCTGTGTAGAGTCTAGAGTCGCTAGGGCAACAGGCCTGCCTGCTCTGTCTGGAGAAGAGGGGGGAGGAGCAGACCACTGAGAACAGAGAAGAGAGAAAACGCAAGGAAATCAAGATAGCAGTGGCAGCTGTACAAATAACTAATCCAAAGGGCTTTGCCTTCTCAAACACGGGAGAAAGCTAACACAATATGACGCCCCGTCACCTTATTAATTTAGCCACTTACTTAGATAGCAAGTTAAACTAGGGGTCATG